GCAAAATGTGCCTCTGGGAGGACCATTTGAGATAGTGGACTATGTCCGAGCGTTTACTAACCGGATATGGTGCGTAGGCAGCGACGGCGACGGTTTACGAGGGTATACGAGCTTTTTACTATCGACAGGTAACTATCGTCCATTTTTGGTCGATAGCTGAGTAGACAGGTGTCAATAGAGTGAGCGATAGTGACCGGAAACTATCGACCTGCTTACTATCGACACAATTATCGACAAAGTAGACTGGGCCTTAGTACTGACCCGCCTGGGGTTCGCGTGTGAAGATGCTCCGCTAGGTAGGTGCTCGGAAGAGTGCCACGGATATCGTGCAGAAGTATATATGTCCTTTTTTTCTCACGGGTGGCCGGCCATAGGAAGAAAGAGACTGCCTGGTATATTTATCTGTTGGGTTTTCGGAACGGGACTGCGAGAACAAGGTCTTGTTTTTCTCGCAGCTCAAGAGAGGAAGCCAGGAAAGTTGCCGCGGTGGGCGAAACGAAGTCGTCGCTGACTCGTCGGTATCTACTCCATGTATCCTATATACAATCAGCTCCACTTCTTCCTCCCTACCTGAGTACTGATCTGCTTTTAATCCCAAGCGTCCTTCCTAGGTCACCATATCGCCGGATCCATGCGACTCCGTCGCCGCTCTTATGTTATACCTACAACAAACCGCAAGATTATGCGCGCCCATGGGGAAGATCTCAATGTGAACTGTCAAGGTAGGTAACGGCGAGACTGCTTATGACGCTGTGTTCGCAATGGCAAGTTTGTCTCTTGGGCAAGATCGATACGATTTTTCATTATCGGCGAGGGCCACTGCAGCATTTATGGGCCAACTATGTCAATGTGCCTGCTTCCAGGTTGGATGCTTGAGAAAGACGGACGGGACGAGAGACAAAGGAGAGAGGAAGTCGCACGGAGAGGGGGAAGAACAGCTGATGTTATTAGGTGCGACCCGGTCTACGAGGCTACGAGGTTCCTGTGCGCCAAGCGCGACAAGCATGATGCGATCTCGCTGGGGGTCCAAAGCCAAGAGATATCGTTGGTATACCACACCTCCTTCCCACACTTCCTCCTTGTTACTCCGTCGCTCCTGTATTTTCAATATGGCTTGCTCCTACTGCGAATGAGGTGTCGCACGTTCCCTTTTCATCTCTAAGAGAGTCGATGGCGCGCGCTCTCAGACGTGCCGTCAAGACGGCGACGTGACGTTATCCCGTCGCCATGAAGTGTACGTGTCGGCAGGTTCCAATGAAGTTGTGTTCGTCCACTCGCACGCGTTTGCTCTGTGTGTTCATGCAGAGACATTGGGTGCAACTTCCTCCAGACATGAGTGTCGGATGACGTGCCGACTGCTCACAGCTTCCATGTTCTTGCCGTTTCCATGGTTTGTTGTTCTTGCAGTCTATTTCAACCTCACGCAGTCTCCTTCATCTACCTCAACATCCCATCCCATCCACTTCTTCCACGGCCAAGCACGAGACATCAACAACCACAGCAGCGCTACCGTAGTCTACGCACGAAACCCATCAAGATGTCGTCCTTTGGTCGCAGCAATCAACCGGCCGCCGTCACCACCGCCGCCGTCGTCGACGACAGCCACGAGAAGCACGACTTTGACGATGCCAGTCTCAGCACTCGGCCTACTTTTGGCCAATGGCTCAAACTTCACTGGCGTGACATCCTGACCATGATCGCCATGGGCGCCATCGGTCTCGGCGTGTACGAGGCCCCGCCAGCTCCGTCTCGTAGCTTCCCCGTCTACTACCCAGACGGCGACGTGGTAAGCTGCAGCACCAGCAAGCAAGATCAGGAGCACTACTGACAACTCTCGCAGGTCTTCCCACAGTACGCCTATCCTTCCCGCCACGAGATCATCCCAATTTGGGCCGCTGCCCTGCTCGCTTCACTGGTTCCCATCCTCGTTTTCCTGCTGATGCAGTTCCGCATCCGCTCCTTCTGGGATGTCAACAACGCTGTTCTGGGCCTATTGTACGCTCTCATCTGTGCAGCTGTCTTCCAGGTCTTCATCAAGTGGTAAGAAGAGACCGAACATACCCCACAACCTGTCTGAGACCGCTGCTGACCTCTGTCCACCACTTTCAAGGTTGATTGGTGGTCTTCGCCCACACTTTCTCGCAGTTTGCAAGCCTCGCACCCCAATCAATGGCGCTCAGACTGGCAATGGTTTCGGCAACATCATGTATGATCGCAAAGTCTGCACTGGAGACAAACACGAAATCGACGATGCCCTCGAATCGATGCCCAGCGGACACACAACTGCTGCATTCGCGGGCTTCGTCTTTCTGTACCTCTACCTCAACGCCAAGCTCAAGGTCTGGAGCAACTACCATCCTGCCATGTGGAAGCTGATCGTCACTTACATGCCGATTCTTGGAGCTTGCCTGATTGCAGGATCTCTGACCATCGACGCCTACCACAACTGGTACGACCTTTTGGCCGGAGCCATTATCGGTACTATTTTCGCATTCTCTGCATACCGCATGGTCTACGCCAGCGTATGGGACTTCCGCTTCAACCACATTCCGCTGTCGAGATACGCACCGTTCACATACAACTCTCAGCTCGGTCCATTCGGTGGCTTCCAGGATGCTATGTGGACTAGACAGGCTGGCTGGGGCCAAGGTTCTGCCTCTGTGGGTGGTGCGCCATTCGACGTCTCCAATCAAGGTGGCTTTACAGCTGGTACTAGTCACGGCAATGGATTTGGAGCACAGCAGGGTGTGTCTCGCAAGCCTGTCGGTATCAGCCCGGTTGCAGGTGAACAAATGGTCTAAGCTTACGATTGAATGTCACGAACACGTTACGAGATGGAGCGTTCAGCAAAGGGGGCTTTGGGGAGACAGTGAGAAGGCATGGAAGCCATATGGCTTAAGCAATACCCATACACGACAGTGGTAGGCTATCATACTGATTGATCATAAGCTACATAAATTGCTGAAGCATACCAAGCAAGAAACATTCTCCGATTGCACTTGTTGCCGCTGCACGTGAACGTGCAATGAACAGCCAGTGTTACCCTTACTCTACAGAACAGATCGTGGTCCCTCGAAGTCGAACACGGCAATATCTCTGCTCCAGTTGAAAATCATTGTAGCATAACAACATACATGATGTTGAAAAGTTTGCAGGGAAGTCCCAGTGACGCTTCGCGAGCCAATGCTCATGTCGAAGTCAAATGCCAAGACCTTGGCGAGTCACCAATTTCTCACGCTCTGCTCCCCTACTCAGTTCCCTTCACTTCAGATCTACACATATTGATGCTTGGGTCATTTCTTTTTGGAATACTCCCATGCAAGGACCAAAAATGACGATGCCACCAAAAAAAGACCGCAACGCATACATACCTAATGAGCCGTACTGATTGATACATCTTGGAATCTTACCCGCCGCACGTTAGGTAGGTACCGACTTAGTTTCATTGTTTTCGCGCGTTCAGAGTGAAAGTTCATATAAGGTATACATTATACAACATCCCGGCGTGAGAACTTTATCACCGACCGATTAGAAGGGGGAGCTTCTAGAACTTTAGGGAGCTGAATGATTGGAAGATACAAAGCATTGCTCTGCCATCGAGCGCAACATGCCTGCCCTAACCGCTGATGAGGTGGTTTGCGGCTCTCGGACTGCCACCTTGCGAAGTTGCGAGTATGAGTGTTGCATGGGGCTGGGAAAGTGGCGTCGTGTGGGCAACATCACAGGTACCATAGGTAAGGTAGAGTTTGGGGTTTGGAGTTTGGATGGACATGGGTGATGAAAAATGCTGAACTTGCTGCTAACCAACTAGCATAGGAGGTAGCCTACCTACGATACGAAACGGCTCGTTCCAAAGCCCCATCAGTTACGATTGTTGTGGGCATGACTATACGATTGTCGTGGCTATGTCTAGATACGTCTCAGCCACTGCTTCAATGGTTTCTTCTTGTGTGGGACAAAGGCTAAAAGGTCACGGTTACACGAAAACGTGGAACACGAGGAAAACAGTTTTCGGGAGTGAGGTTTTTTTTTCGTTGACTCGGTCTCGTGTGAAGAGGACTGCGCTCCAAGGCCTTGACGCATGCGCCCTGCGGGAGGCGAATACGTTGCGCCTTCTCGAGCTAGTCGTCGACGAATACGGACAAGACGAGGGGGAGAGAGGGAGAGAGGGGGGGGGGGGGGAGAGAGAGAGGAGGAGTAGTTCG